ATAGGTTAGTGTTCACAGCCGATCCGTATCTGAGGAATTTAGACAAGACGCTTTCATTAAGACTCCGGTACAAGAACTCCAGGTGAACGTAGGGCGACGACTCTTGCTTCGCAAACATCTCCCAGATGAGCGGGGGGCTTTGTGCCCATAACATAGAGCAATATGCGTGAAGACTCGAGGTCCAAATATCAAGTTGTGTTCATCATCCTCCGAAAAAGACGGGGAAGGGAGGAGTTTATGGAACGAGATATATTTGGACTAACATTTCGGGAACTCTCCTTTCCATCATCAGAGCTGTGGCTGGTTGTTTCAGCTGGCCTTGATTGCTTCGGGTTTGATGCCTGTCTGGCATTATATCTGTGCTCGAGGCACAAACTACGATCTGTCCGTTCTCTGCTAATTAGCGTTGACTTCTCAGAGGCTGACCACCGGTAGGCTCGTGCCAACTTTGACCCCTTTGCGGCCGTTGTAATTGTTGGCGAGCCGTCATGCTTGCTGGTCTCCCCGTCGTCAACCAATGGACTGATCAGTTGTTGGAATTCGTGTGAGTTGAGTCGAGTCAAAGAAACTCTCAGCCAGATTGGCCGCCGATCATGGGACCATCTAAAATTGCCCTCATAATGTCTTGTCCTTGAAGAAAGAGAGGAGGTGGGAGAGGTGAGTGAGGACGACATTGCACAAGTCATCGTTGCGTCTTCAAGAAGTTATGGTTCTGTCGCGGCAGTTTAGGCTGTAGGCCACTACGACATTCAGGTCTGGTGTCGAATAGAAATAATTCGTACAGAATTCGTAGAGATTTAGTGGCGAGTGGGTTGGAGCTAGCTGGCAGTCGGACGAGGGCGCATGTCCGATGATGCGAGTCTTGTCCCATGAGAAATGGTGTCCACTATAAAGGGTGTACATGACCACTTGAGACAGGTGGTCTCGCCTCTTAGCTGCTAGTTGATGTTCGTGGATGCCGTGATCAGCTGTTATTCCCGCATGACTTTGCTCGCCTGTCCTGAGGGTCATATCCGAACTTATTCCAGCCTTGTTCGTAGCTTCAGGTAGTCGGGACGCAGGTCTGTTTGTCAGTCGGATGTGCTAATCGAAGGCCAACGTTCTAGGACTGGTCTGGCCATCTTCTAGCTTGCTTGTTGAATAACCCTTGCTCTCTTAAAGTCGAAACCCTGGTTCTATCGTTGCATAGGGCCATAGACCGGGGACGACCTATATCCACGGCTGATTGTCAGCTGGCGGTCATCCTGTCTTGAATCAAGGTGCTTGTCCAGTTAACCAACCTTTCTAGCACCGCAGCTTTGGGATGGTATGCCACAGACCACCGCTGATCGTTTAGCAATGGTAGCGGGTCATAACTTCTTCCCAAATCACGGATGTTTTCTTCTTTATGCGCGCAAGAAGCGCTTAGTAGGATTTGGTTCCTTTCAAGTCATCGGCTCCGATTTCTGCAGTCCATAAGCCCAACTTCGGAATTGAAGTCTTTAATGTATAATACTAAGAAAATTCCTTCGTTGCTCTGATTTCCTTACTCAAAGCACCGAAAGTGTCATGAGCGACGGTCCAAGAGAAACACCATGCGTACATATTGACTGACCGACAAATAAGTGTCACGAAACGAATTTTTTTCTTTAGAAACCTATCAACTTTACCGGTATTGCTAGAACATGTCAGTTATAGTAAGAAAACGTATAAATACAGGTAGACTTTAATATCAGTGCATTCATCCCTATCATTATTAGGAGCCAGGTTGGATTTCCATGACATCAGCATGGGTAAAAATGAGACGGAAATATGGAGCCGTCATAAGACTATAGGAGGATCGCATCCTAAGGCTGTGGTTTCGATATACGCAGAGAGTACCCCACATGGAATGAACCAGAAATAAAATCGCGTGCATATTTCGTTTGCGGCATTAGAGAGAGCAGTTGGACTTACGATCTCTTTCGTGCTGCTTGTGTACCAGAAGCGCTCTCATACCGTGAAAAATGATTGGCTGAATTAGCGGTGGGAACTAATATTAATATACGGCGCACAAATTATGCATGAACCTGACGCAGCAACGCTCTACAGATGAAGCAGAATATTTTTTCTGTGCCTTCACTTGAAGTGATTGCATCGTCTATCCGAGTTTCTAAACATTTTACTTTAAAACTGCTTTACCAGGTTGGTTCCAGCAAATTATGAAGAAAATGGAAGGGTTTTTAATGAATATTCTGGCCGAATCTTCGCAATAAGATATGTGAGCTCTAATTAACTTGTGCCATGCATGAATAATGCCACATGTTAAAGGATGAGCTTGTTATTTGCGGCTAGTGCTGAACGGGCTTCTAATTTTGTTTTAGAATCTATATTAGTTTTGTAGGAGAAGCGGTTTACTCAAAAGTGTTTAAGCTGTAAGCGAAATCTTCTAGTGACCTGTTCTGAACTTCCATCTACCGTTCATGCAGAACATTTATGGGCGCCAAACCTTGTATACAATTATCAAACTTAAAGGACAAATTCTTTCTGGAGGACGAGTAATCAGACATTCCGTCAGTCTTCACTTGTCACGAAGCAATCTTATTATCCGTGTCTCCGTTTGAAGTCGACCAGAGCTTCCAATCTCTGTTTGACTGAGTTGCCTAAATTGACCTGCTCAACTTGAAGAGCACTGATCATGTATTGCTTAATAAAGGGCACACGATAGATTGATTTCTAATAATTAGGTTTTGCACGCTGTAGCTGAAACAGTTCTCGGCTAAATAGATGGCGTTTTTTGAGCGTACGCTTGTTAAGGTGCTCAGAACCTCCAGAAACATATTTCATAGACAAAAACGAAGAGTATTTTTCAAACCTATGGCCACCATATGAGGGAATAATGTGGACTAGCGGGGACTATTTAATATCAAAAATGTTTTATGATCCCTCATCCAACTGTCTTTTGGGATTAGAAATGCTTTTATACTCATCTCACCGTCCCCAAGATGTCCATGAAAAAACCGATCTTTGCAGACATCCTAAATAATCCTTCAGAGGTTTTGCTTCTATGCATAAAAGTTCACCGAACTGCGTGGATTATTGGAGGGTTTAAGGTAGTTGCTGAACAGACGTCCGCGTGGAGAGATTTTAAGGTTTTGAGTCTCGATGGCTAGTCGAAGTAAGCATGAATCCTAGTATAAGAAAGCTGCGCATGCGTTTTTGAATGCTGCTGCCCTAAAGGAGAAAAGACTAAATTGCCGTCGAAAGCAGACCTTCGATTCTGTCAGTCTCAAGAGGCTGACAGAACCTGACTAGTAGGTTTCAGATACCACAGGAATTCAAATTTATCTTGCGGAGTGGTACTTGCAATGCAAATGAACTACGTTCTCTACTGACAGCTGGTTGAGTTCTTTAAAGGAACGAAAGAAATAAGACCCTCGAAATATGTTGTTGTGTTCTGCATGCGACATCATTCTGCTGACGATGCGCAAAGACGAGGCAAATAAAAAAATCTCAGTGGCAACATGTCACAGGACGTTGTAAGATAACTTCAAAAATTTTCGACCACAAAATTGGTCCCGAGCCGTGAGTTATTATATCATTCTGAGACATTCGGATGCTAACTATGCCACATCAGCCCCTCAAGCGGAGAAGCATCTGTACTCCCCTCGACAAATGAATTCAGACAGCCCATTAGGAGGTTTCAGCCACTTTTTCCGTATTCTGACATATGATCAGAAAAGAATTCTCATTAGTAAGCTGTGTTGAAATCCTGTTTTCAGCATAAACTGTGCCCCACTGATTCTTGGGCTTATAACGCTCTACTATAAGGTATTATAAAGAGTCATTCTGTGAGACCTGCCTCAAGGGCGACGTAATAAACTTGGAACCGTTTGTAATTTATATGAAATTTCGCGCCTCAAACTTTCCTCAAATTATCTGATATATTTGTGCAACATTTGAGGGACCATTCCAGGAATCTCTCAGAAAACTGCTCGCTGACTAGAGCCAGTTAATCGCGTCCTTATTCATGCTTGTACGACGAACAGTAATTCACGAACGTACACGGCAGTTCGACCTCCGTTGCCGACGATGTCCACCGTGCGCTCCATAGCAAGCGGAGAGCAGGCACAGTTACCTGTGCGTGAATTGGTTTATGATAAGAGTACACTTCCGTGGCATCTACCGTACTCCCTCCTCCTCCCCAATCTGGGCCCGATGTCAAAACATAGTTAAATTTACCGGAGGCGAAAGAGGGAGAGAGCGCAGCTACCAGGCACGGCCGGGCACGCACTTTGGCTTACCACCGCACCCCCTGGTCCACAGCGGACATTGAACAGGATTTTATATCATAACAAAAACAGTTGGCGGCACCAATCCCAGATGACGCGGCGCGAGCCAGCAACCTGTCCTGCCACCACATTCCAGTGTTTTCATTTGCTGTGGATGCGCATTCCCGATAACGCTTGCGGGTACCGATCTAACCACTGCGCTGATCACGTGCATTAACCGCGCGGCCCGTTATAGGGGCAAATTTACTTAAGCGATACCTATGGAGAGTTATGGATCTTCGAGAGTTCACTGTCTCGACTGGAGAAATTATCCATCAAGCAGGGTGGATAACTTTCGAAAGAAACCTTCTCTTTTCTCCATGAACAACTATCCAGTCCGATTTACTAAAATAAAAAAGGGTTCATGACCATCCTGCTGCCGCTTTTCTAAATTTGCTGTTCAGGGTTTGAGGTAAGAACGCGCACGTCATGCATTTATTCGCATTTGGGCTTACGTTGCCACGTCATTTCCTACATAAACATGATTTTCAAAGTCTTTCACCTTATAGTAAAGTATCGAATGTTACCTAGTTATAGATATACAGACTTGGACGTTGAGGGCCCCTTAAATTCTATGGTCTATCCTGCACCATAAAGAAAACCAGAGGCAAAAATAAGGGGACCCTCAGTGCGAAACACCCTGGTCGCTGATGTTTGCGTGTCGACGACTGCGCACTCAACGCCACCTCCGAAGTGGAGATGCAAAGGGGCATGGAACTCTTTGACATCGCCTTCGACAACTTCGGCCTGGCCATCAACACGGAGAAAACGGAGGTTATGCACCAACCGCCACCCGACGCTGCCTATATCGCACCCTCAATCAATGTGAACGGCGACAAATGCAAGACGTGGACAACTTCACCTACCCCGGTAGTAACCTCTCCTTCACCACCAGGATCAACGAGGAAATGGCCCACTGGATCTCCAAAGCCAGCCAAACCTTCAGCCGTCTGCAAGGCACAGACTGGAATCGCCACGACCTCAACCCCAACACCAAAGTGAAGACGTACAAGGCAGTCATTCTGCCGACGCTGCTGTATGGAGCGGATACCTGGACGGTGTACAAGAAGCAGGCGTGGAGACTCAATCCCTTCCAGCGCAGCCTTCGTCGGTGGATACTGAAGCTGAAATGGCTGACCGGGTCCTCGACACGGATGTATTGGAGCGAATGGGAGTCCTCCGCATTTACGTCATTCTGAGACAGCTGCAACTGCGTTGGAGCGGCCATCTCGTGAGGATAGATGACGAGCAGCTACCCAAATGACTCTTCTCTCGAGATGTCGCCATGAGTTCCCGACGACAAGGAAGCCAAATCTGTCAATACATGGACACCCTGAAGACTTTCCCGAAGCGTCTGCAGATCTACCCGATCAACTGAGAAAGTCTCGCCCGAGACCGGCCGACCTGAAGGAGGACAGTGAGGGCAGGTGCTGCGATCTACGAAGTCAACCGCATCGCCACCGTCAAGGCCAAAGGCGAAGCTCGCAAATCCCAATCGCGCTCACCTCGCAACACAAACGCTCAACCAACCCCGCCCTGACTACGCTGCCAGCGGACGTTCCGGACACCAATCAGCCTTGTAAGACATCATCGTACCAACTGCAGCGCCCGGACTACGCCATCCGTTGTCTCCTCGTCTACGTCTGCTTCATCCTCCACTCAGATAATTAACACTGACCGCTCTCCCAAACCCTCACTGCCATCCTCCTCCTCCTCCATTGCCTAAACATACGCTACGGCACGCCTTGTGCCCACAACCCCTGCACAAAACCCTGACACACCAACAAACATCAACCTGCCCAACGATGTAGACTCGATTCATACCTGTCCTCACTGCGATCGTACCTTCCCTTCACACATCGGCCTGATCGGTCACTTGCGAATCCACCGCACAGATACTGGCGAACCAGTGCCCGGAGAACTAAACAACACTCGTCGCATTCGCCTCCACAGTGCACACTTCCCCCACTCATCCGCTCACCTCATGGGTCTATTAAACGACATGCGCATTCACGAAAACATGCGGCAACCAGACGCCGGTTAAACCACACCATTCCATCTTCCCCCTCCTCCTATATCACCCAATATCATCCACCAAAGCACCCAATCGCCACCTTCCACGCATAGGGAAGTGTGCGTCTCGTTTCCGTCTCCATGCGGCTCCCCTGCTGCATGTGCCGTTCGAGTCTGAAGCTATCTCGACGCGTCAAGCGCGGTGGCTTGGAGGGCTGCTGGCTGACGCCCCAACTCAGTCCACACAGCCCAGTTGTGTAATAGCTCGTTTGGAGTGGTGGACTGATGGGCCGAGAGCCAGACTGAAACGGATCCTTCTTAACGCGACCTTTGACACCCTCACGCATTTGAGATGTACGCCGCCCAACCCCCGCTATGCGAAATCCTGGTACTTGTGTTTGGGGGCCAGGTCGTGCATGTGGAGCGCGCAGACAAATTCACTCGATACGTCAGCCACCGCACCCACTCCCCGCACATTTCAATTGATCGGCTAGGACAGTGACTGGGTCCTGGGAATGGGAAGGGAGAGGTCGACGACTCAGCGCATTTTCGCCACCATAAACAATCTGACGCGAATGAGTCTATTACGGTATGCTAGAAGCCGTGGCTTGGAAGGTTACCAACTGACGGGGTAACTTGGATCTCGCAGTCGGCCCAGTGTTATGTGTTTGTGTGGGGCGGCCGGCCGGTGGTCTAAGGGTCAGGCTGCTATGAATCCGTCTTAATGTGGTCTTTATGGCACTCCCACTGACTGGGATCCGAACCGGATAAGGCGCCACATCTAAGTGCGGCTCCGGCCGTGCCAACCAACCTCTAGTTGTTGGCCAAAATCCTTGCCATGGGCCAAGGACTTTCGAGTGGAGAGCCAAGGTACGGTCTCGACCGTGCCATCCGTCTGCGCATTTCTCCGTCACCAATATTCTTGACTATGTATGTCTTGGCACCGGGTCGAGGTGGGGGAGGAGGAGAGTGTGCGGTAGATGTGTGCGGGTCTATATTCACAAATCACTGTCTCTACTCTCACCTTGCTGCTGAGCACATGGTGGACATTTTCCACAACGACGATCGAACTGTCAAGTGCATCGTTTTAAAGATAACCTATACTTATATGCTCACATTACTTATCAAA